AACAGTAATAAGGCTCACCCCGACCTTACCGCGTATCCTGTAGGAGTACAGATCTAACCGAAGTGAAGCTCGGTTTTCGGAGAAGCGGTAAATTTGCAAAATAATAGTTAGGTTCTCGGAAGAACAGTTAGATTGGGTCCTATCCCAGCTGGGGCATGCATCACGGGAGAGTACATGCTTACCCGGAATATGAGGATTTTAGATTACCGGAAGAATTAATGGTTGCCCACGGATGAGCATCTCCCTAAAGGAAGGTTACTTCTTGCTTCATAAGGCACTAGACAATGAGCCGTCTTCCTTCCCATTGGGACTATGAAAAGTTATAGCCTTATGTGACCATGGGGATCAATATAAGGCAACATTGCGGTTCTTAGACTACTACCCAATGACCATTGGGTAAAAGGTATGCGAAGTCCCTTTTACAACAAATTAATATCACTTGAACATGAACATGCTGCTTCATAGGCTGAGTCATAATATTAGTTTTTTGTGTGAAAATTAATAGAAAAAAAAACATCTCAAGAACCGATAACTTTTGGATATTCTAGTCTAACAAAAAAATGAAATGATATGAAAAGCTCATAAACAGTTAAAAGTTAAAACAAACTCTCTGGTTATTTACCTGCTTAACTTCTCTGACTCCTTTCTCGTTTTCTAGCGGCTAAAGTTTGATGGAGAAAAATCTGATTAAGAGAATAGCAGATAGAGAATAGCAAATTAGGAGAATTGCTTAGTTGGGAATCATAATAGAGATTACTAATAACTCGATTTAAGAATGAAATGGGGAAGGTGAGGAAGATGAACAGAACTTTAAAGATTTTGAGCAAAAGAAATGGAAAAAATATAACTGACAGAAGGTAAAGAGTCCAAAGCGTGTAAAAGATATAAATCTAATTTGAAGCGAGCTTTTAATTGCATGTGACTATGTTTGAAATATTTTTTCTTATTAGATATAAACTTAGAAATGTTGGATTTGGTTTGATTAAAAGTTTGGGTTAAAATATTTAGTTTGCTACTGATGTGGCAAGTTTAGAAAACTTTTTAAAAAGCTGATGTGGCTAGTCCGAGAAGCCCCAAACAAGTGCTTTCATTTAGTATAGATAAGACTTCATAAGATAAAAAATAAATTAAATTTAATAGAAAAAGTTGTATATATTATAAATTATTTAACATATATTTTGATTAAATAATTTTTACATTACTTAAAATACAACAGTAATTTTTTTAATATAATGTTTGGTTATAAAAAAATTATTTAGTATTTTTTCTATAGTTAATATTTTAAAACAATTATGATTATTTTTATAATTTTTTGACTAATATATGTTTTATATCATGAATTCATCATAAATAACTATTTATGATATGTATTGTCTATTTTGTTTTACCAATTTTAAAAAAAAATTAACCAATCTAAATAAGATATTGTATTCAATTTTTTAAGTATTTAAAATTATTTTTGTTTCTTTTCAAAGTTTATTACTGGTAACATCTTGGATTACTAATATATAAATCACACAAACATATTTAATTTTAGAATATTTTTGATGATTTTTTTAGATTGTTAACAATATAAAAATTCTCAAATGAAACAAAAATATATATATGAAGTTCTCAACAAAAATAACCTCTTATATAGATATATTTTATTTGACTCTGTAAAATATCTTACTAAAGTACTATATACTCCCTTTGTTCCGTTTTAATTAATGATCAAGAGTTTTTCGTCCCAATTTATTTTATTTTCTCTTATATCTATATAAATTTTTAGTTTATTTTAATCTATAATTAATTAAAAAACATTTTAGTCAAAGAAGTTCAAACGTCTTTTACCAATGGCTAACAACTTTTAAGTCAAAGCATTAATTATTTTCTTTACTTTTTATTTACTACTGGGTGATCGTTGCAGGTCATAAAATATTTTATATGTTCAGTTATGATTAATATAGTATTGAAGATGTTTTATTTGTATAAAATAAATAATAAATATTAACTAAGATTTTAAAATATTTCTTTCAATAAAAAATATAAATGTGGTTACTAAATAAATGGGAAAATATTAAAATATATAATAATTCATTTAGTTTGCAAAGATTCATTTTTACTTTTATTATTACTTTTTCTTCATATATACAATATTATAATAAAAATAATTAGCTAAAAGGATACTTATAATTTATTTATCTACCAGTTTATTTTTTGTTTCATTTATAATTTTGAATTCTTGCTATATAATGAGAATTTATTCATATATGATTTAAAATTTTCTTATTTAAAAATGAGATTTATTTAGATTTAACTTAACCAATCAAAATATTTTGTTTATTTTATGAAATTTGCCATGTCACATTTATGAAGTGGCATTGTTTTGCACTAACTTTTGCTAAGGTGATGATGACACATCAGATTTTTTCATTAAACATGCTTTTCAAATAATAATTAAGATTTGAATTCACCGAGAATATGTTCATTTTTTGACTATTTACCTTCCATTTTTTATTTTATTTACTATTTTAATTTATTTATTAAATAATATTTTAAATGTAAATTAATTTTGTTAATATGTGTACTGTTAGCTAGAACATTAATTAAAATGAGTTCATATATTTATATTTCTGTTTTGAAAGAAAATTAACAAATAAAAATTGATCAATCTTTCAATAATAAATATCTTTGAAATACACGAGTTTTGGGTATACTAAAATCTAATTGAGATTGCATTTTATCATGTCAAGATATAGTGTAGATCAAATGTTTGTAGCAAAAGTATATTTTTCTTTGAAAATAATACAAAAATAACATAAAGTTATTCAAATCATAATTTTATATTTGTCTTTATAGTTTTTTTATATAAGAATCTGTATATGTCTAATTTTACAAATGTTTTGTCTGATCAAACACTTGTAATTTAATATAACAAAAAGCCAGCTAAAAATGTAAAAAAAAAACCATATTATATTTATAAACATAATATTGACATTAAAATATAAAATAATACTTTAATTCTTCTAACCAAAGAAAATATGTTTTGTCATATCTTTAGCTCTATTCTTCTTATGTATTTGTTGTTTTTAATCATATCTGAATATTGTTGCCTTCAATTTTTATAAATAATATGTATAATATGTTCTTTTAAACAATTAATCTTTGTAATAACTTATAATAAACAATGGTGATAAAAATATTATATTATAATAAATAAAGTGTTCTTTAAACTTGATTTTGTTTATATTTTATGTAAAAACATTTTATTATTAATTTTATATGGTTTTTATATAACTGAAAGTGTTATTTCACTAATAGATATTTCTAATTTTATATTAAATTGATTTTTATTCTATTTTTTATTTTCTATATGATTTGCTTATCTTTATATATTTTATTAGTTAGTATAATATTAGAATTTGGAAATTTTCTTAATAAGTCAAAAAATAATTATCTTAAAAAATATAATTGATTATAAAAAAATATGTGGATCCGATGAAATGAATTTTTTTATAATTTATATGATTATTATAATATAATAATATGTTAATTTTTTTTATATTGTTAATAGGAAAATAAGATCTAATTTCCATACTTCTTAAATTTGTCTTTATTAATAATTATCTAAAAGTTTTGAAACTTTCCCAATAACAACATAAACAAACTTAATTAAAATTGTTTTTATACTAATAACAATAAAACGAAAATAAACAATTTTAATATATATAATTAACTATAGTAGATGATGTGCACCAATAGAATTGAATCTCTTAGATTCTATGTGAACACCTTTAGAAGTGTGTTTTTAAACAATTAATCTTTGTAATAACTTATAACAAATAATTATGATAAAATTATTATATTATAATAAATAATATGTTCTAACATGAGTTTATTTATATTGTATGTAAAACAAAATTTTATTATTAATTTTAGATGGTTTTTATATAAGTGAAATTGTTATTTTTAATTAAAGATTTTTCTAGTTTTATATTAAGTTGATTTTGGTTTAAATATTTTACATGATTTTCTTATTTTTATATATTTTATTAGTTAGTATAATATAAGAATTTGGAAATTTTCTTAATAAGTAAAAAAATAAAATAATTAATTTAAAAAATATAATTAATAACAGAAAATGATGTGGATGAATGAAATGAATTTTTTTTATATATTATAGTATGATTTTCATAATCTAAGAATATGTTAATTTTCTTTTTATTGTTAATAGAAAATAATATATAATTTCCATATTTCTTAAAACATTTTTTATTTATAATTATATAAAAATTTAAAAACTTTCCTAATAACAACAAAGACAAAGTTAATTAAAATTTAGAAACTTTACTAATAACCAAAAAAATTAATTAATTTTAATATATAATAAACCATAGTTGATGATGTGTACCAATAGAATTGAATCTCTTAAATCCTATGTGAACACGCTTAGACCACCTGCATTGGTAGTTTCTCACCAAGTCTCTCAACATAAAATATTAATAAAGTTAGAAAAAGTTAAGAGTGAGAATGGAGAGAGTCTCTCAAATTAGAGACTATGAGAGACCCATGAGAGACTCATCTCATGTGTTGTTTCTATATGATTGGTTTAAATTTTATTTATTATTTAAAATTAAAATAATTCAGTTAATTTATATTAAAAATATTATTATTAAATTGATTAGAGACTCATATCACCAATGCAGATGCTCTTAGAAGCCTATAACATCAATTTTTATTAGTAACAGATTCTAATAGATACTTGAGTCAAATAAAAAGTCTAAACAAATTGAGTCAATTGATTATCAATTAGTACCGTGAAATTTAAAGTGAAAGTCTCTCTCTAGACATTAAACAATATTTATGGATTGGGCCAGACATATTTGTCAACTATAGTAAATTCTATTTGACAAAAAAAAACTATCATTCAAAAGCCCTTAAAGCCCAACCTAATTTTATATCTTTGTCAACTAGGGTTTACTACATATACGGATATATTTGTCATCATGATCGACTGTGCCGCATTCTCAAACAATCAACTTCCAAAGTACAATTTCATATAATTTTTTTTTATTGTTTAAGATATGTTTCCCTGATTTATTTTGGGTTTGTTTAAGATTGTGGTTCATAATATATTTGCTTTCATTGCAGATGGATCAGTTTGTTAAAGAAATTAACAAAATGCCGCTTATTGAAGGGATTTCTTCCATCTTTGAAAGAATCAAAGCTCTTCAAACTGAGTTGCTTTCAATGAGAGATGTTCCAGTTGCCAAATCTATTGTCGAAGAAGGTAATTTGTTTTTCATTTTAAATCTAAAAATATTTGGTCTTCTGATCTTGATCTTATGGTATAATTTCGTTCTAATTTGTTATATTTTGGGACATATGTTTGTTTATTTTTGGAGATCTTATGTATAAATTGTTTTTTTTCAGCCATCTCCACCTTACGTCTTCTTGCTTGTGAAAAACATAAGCTCTCAGATGCCTTGGTGGCTCACCTAGGGGGTGGGATTTCACTCCCTCCTGGCTTCATCCGCGAAGATCCAGCGTGCCAACCAGCAATGGTTCCGATGCAGGGGATTTTGATGGATATGGCGAGTCATCCGTTGTGTGATCCGATGTGTCATCCGACGTGTATTCATACAATGTATACGGCAGAGACTTTGATGAATATGGCGAATGGTCCGGTGCATCATCCTGTGGATACTGATGCAATGGATCCAGCTGAGATGTTGCTGAATCTGTCACGTATGGAGTTTACTCATGCAACGGATGCAGCAGAGTCTTTGATGAAATTGGCGAATGAATCTGACGCATCCTCGAGTGAGAATTAGAGTATTTGTTCAACAAAATTGTTAACAAAAAATTGTTGGAATCATTTATCCAAAAAAATAAAATAAACTTATTATTGCTTATTTCAGTTTTATATAACTTTATTATTTATTCAGAATTTAAAAGAAAAAAACATAATTAAATAACCACTATGCATATGTCCATTTAACTGTTTGTTAAATAACTAATATATAATAATTACTATGAGTACGTAGAACCAACTTAAAAACGAGTTTATTATACTCATAGGCACTTTACCAAACTCATATTACAAAAAGAGGCACATTAAACAATAAATGCACTTTACCAATTTGCAATGACAAAATTCTCCTTGCCTAAATTTTCACACCGTCCTAATTAAAAACACTTTTGATTTTTAGATCTAAACACTTTGAAAGAACAGATAAACTGTTCATCTTTTTCAATCTCCATCAACTTTTTTTTTCTTTTAACTTCATAAACTATAGCTTTTGTGCCATCACCATCGTCAAAATAGAAGAGAATGAAAAATCAATCCTCCCCCTAAGCTACCTTTGACGATGTATCCAGATCTTCTAGAATGCAAAGAAGCTATTATCGCTCAGCCCTACAGCATAAGATTCAAACATAAACCAGAATCACAATTGATGATTCCAATCATGTCGGCCAGATCTAAAAACAAGAACCCTAAATAAAGAGGAAGAATCATGTTTCAATTTGGATATAGCTCGATGGATACGATCTAATGGACACATCTTGATGGACCAAATTAGTTGATAGATTGTTAACCTAGCTTAGGTAGATAGCTTCTTTTGCTGGATACTATTTTATTATTGATTATATGTTAATACGATTTGATGGATACTAAGTGTTAGTCACAATTAATAAGAAGTTGTGGACAACAAAATATATCAAGCAGCCAAAATTAATGATTAAAGATGGATTCTTGCATATCATTATATCTACACAGCAGTATCAACTTATAATGGACAATTGTTGATGGATAGGGTGCGGTGAACAACAAAAGATAATAAGAATTCAAAATCGATGATTAAAGATGAACTCTTACACATGATTTTTTCCACATGACAATATCCGTAAAGCAATATCCACATGGACATGATTGTTAGAGATTGAATGATGTAAATAGCTTTGTCGTTACAATTAGTAAGTCTCAAGATGTGTACAACATCTGATATGTACAACTTTGGATGGACAATTGGTAATGGACGGTATGCGATGGAAAACAAATCCGATAAAAAACTAAAATCGATGATTATAGATTGATTTGTATTTCTAGTTATGTCCACATGATCGCATCCATAAGGAAATATCCAAATGGACAAAATTAATGGGGTGTAGTGGACAATAAACCAAACCAAAAATCAGTAATACACATCAATTATTCTTTATGATTTCATCCACATGACAATATTCACCAGACGATGTTCACATGGATATGATCACTGGAGAGTGTATCTAGTAATTTTTCTCTCAGAGTTTATGTCCATCGTCACATGTCCATGTGCCACTAATGATGTCCATGAGCTTGTGTCCATACAGCAGCGTCCATTAGATTTTGTACATACAAATGAACACAAATATATAGGTGTTCGTATAATTATTAACATTCAGTTCTCCTTCCTCATCTTCTTTATCGCATGGACATGTTTACTCGCTCTTATGTGTCCATTTGGTCATGTCCATACATTGGTGTCCATTTATTTTGTATTAGCATATTCTTGCCTGATGGACAAAATTCAAAACATCTATGTGATTGAGAAGGAATATATCTGGTTTTATAGTTTAAGAAGAAGAACTTTGAAACATCTATGGTGGTTGAGGAGGAGTATATCTGAATTTTTCAGTTAATGAAGAAATTTGAGACATTTATGGTGGTTGCAAATGAGTAGATCTGGCTTGCAGTTTAGTGAATCTGGGGTTTGCTCCGATTTTGAAACCATAAATTTTTGTTCTTGTTTTTGTTTTGCAATCAGAGAAATTGACTTTGACCAACACAAAACCCAGATCTCTGTTCTTGGAGTTGTTTACAAGGAAGAGCACTTTCGTGGGTTTGAGTTACATTTAAGTCACTTCTAGCAATTCGAGGACTTTTGCATAGAAAAATGTATGGTTTTACTATTATACCCTTACTGAAGAGAAAATTATTAATTATGCAGTTAATTTGACTCATCGCTTTTACCTGTTTTACTTTATATTACAGGCGGTGGGGGTTGTTTTTAACTGTTTTACTTTATGTTGCAGGCGGTGGGGGTTGGTTACGCCAGCAACAAAAATAATTAAGAGTCACCAGAAAATTAGATAATGTCTATCTCAAATCTTAATTTTTATATAATGTCTATTTCAAATCACCAAAAACTTGATTTTCCATGACGACAAATTATGATTTGTGAGGTTTGCTAATTGTATAAAAATTCGATAGATAAACATTGTAAAGAGGATTGTGGGCTCGGCCTATGCAATAGTTAAAAGTTTGGTATGTTAGATATAGTTTCAGAAGGCCAAGAGAGATAGTTAGAAAAAATTTGAAACCGGTATTGGTGAGTTGAAACCGATATTGGGGAGTTCTCTGTTGCGTTGAATCGGACATAATTTTCTGTGGATATATAATTATGGACACTTTTAAAAGGGCATATATGAATGTTAATTAGAATTGTATATAGATGGACATCAGATAGTGGACAGAACTGTGACAGACATATTCGTATGGACATAATATGTGTGGACATGTTTGGAGTTACACATTCGTATAGGTTTACTGCAGTTGGCTGTTTACGCGATTGGTTTAATTAAAGGAAAGAAAATGTACAAAGAGTAGATTATAGATTGGCATCATTGAATGGACAGAAGGTTGAGGGACGTAATCGTATGGACAAACAAGTGTGGACATGTTTGGATGTGCACATTAGTATGGATATGTCGCAGTTATCTGTTAGTGTGATACGAATGTTCAGACATGATTTTCATGGATGGCTTATATGAATGAACACTGTCTATAATGTTGTTGGGATGATGTAATATGTATGCTTCACAGTGGTCGACATCTTCCTGTGGATACACCTTTGTGAACCTTCCTATGTGGATACATATATTTGGACACCTTTTATGTGGATAGATATCCGTGGACGTCTTTGTATGGACACCTTTTGCATTATTCACAAGAATGTTCGCAAATATACAAAACTCGATTAGCTTCAAACAATAGCTATAAACTCTTATGTGAAGCAGGGAAATATGAATCCATATTTTTATAGTTTCCAAATCTGATCGGTGATGTTCTAATCTTGAATGTTCACGAACACCTTTGTGTGGATACTGTTTTGTGCAGATCTGAATTTTTGATTTGCCTTGAATCGTCAATTTTGAATTTGAGCTGGATCTTGAAGTCATTGGGAAAAGAAGCTACATAATTGTTTATACTTCTTCAATCGTTTGTGTTAATAATTATGTACACGAGTTTGTGTTCACAAGATTGTTTCTATGCATTTGATTTCATAAGATCATTAAAACATTCAAGTCCATTATATTTTGTCCATATAAATATACATAAAGCTACTCAATTTTATGATTAATAATTATATTTTAATTCTTCATACTCATCGATAACTATCTATTCTATTCGTTTGTGCTCATAAAATTATGTCTACAGGTTCATGCATGTGTGTTTGGGGATTAGTTCCTGCCTACACCATTTTTGGGGATTAGTTTTTGTTCATATGAATGTCGATAAAGTTATAAGGGTAGAGATAACTAGTAACACTTTGTTGCTTGCTTCATACATGACCATGCCTTTTTATCCATATGATTGTGTCCATAAGATTACATAAATATCCATGATTTCCTTGTCCATTTGAATGTTTCCATGAGAATATATGTCCACGACTTCCTTGTCCATTTGTTTGTATCCATGATAATACATGTCCACTACTTCCATGTCAATTTAATTGGGTCTATGAGAATACATGTACTCGACTTCCTTGTCCATTCAGTTGTATCCATGAGAATACATGTTCACGACTTCCCTATGTGTATACGAGTTGGATTTAGAAAATAATTCTAGAAGGAGATTAATGAAAAGAGAGATGAGCGAAACCAGATCTAAGAAGAGAATCGACAAGCTTACCCATAAGAATATAATTAGAGAGATTCAACAAAGAACTCAAAGAAAAAAGCTATTTTGAGAAAGGAAAATGAAAAAAAAAAACGAATTATATTTTTGTTAAACCAAATCATTCTTCCATTAACCAGAAATTATGTAATGTTTAAAATGCAAGAAAAGTTAAAGACAGAAGTTACCTTTCACAACAGAATTGGAGGCGTCAACCATATCCTCGATGTAGTAGATCTGGAATTTGAAATTGGTGATGTGAAATGATGGAAAAATAAGGGGTTTCGACGGGGCAATAGAAGACGAAGGACTACTATTTAAATAGGAGTGTGTTGCGATCCGGTGTCGAAAGAAGGGAGTTTCGCAGAGAAACGGCAGATTTGGGATAGAAGAAAGTAATGCCGCTGAAATTGGATTTTATAGCAATTGTGATTTAGAGAAGGGCCAGTGTTCCGGCGATTGTGGTGGTGGTGTGGTGAAGCAAGAGTATTGCCGTTTTCTTCCATTACGGTAAAAAAAAAAGTTTCCAACAGTATATAGGATAAGGATAAAACATAATTTAAAAGATTAAAGGGTAATATCGACAAATAACATAGTCAAAGTCACCTAATTGCTGGAAGTGTCTAAAATGTAAGATGAGTTTGGTAAAGTGCCCTTGAGAGTAATAAATTCATGTTCTTGATGGTAAAGATCTAGAAATTCTCATGATTTCTTCCACTATCTGATTAATCAAATCCAAATGCTTATCCCATAACTTTCTATATGTTCTGAAACCCAGAAACTCGAATACCATCTCTAACAATCAAAGAAGGAGAAGAAAAAGAAGTTGTTCACAATTCAAAAAAAAAATGGATTCAGTAAAATAAAAATTGAGCTTTGTAAATTAAAAATCAGTAAGGGTAATTTCGGTTTTCTATACACTTCACACACACCACACACACACAAAAGTACTCCAATTGTAAAAAATGTCTAT